ATTTCAAGTAAAAAAAAAAACTTTATGGTTTTAGTTTTGGTTCTAGTTAACTATAATAACCCTGCCTTTAACAGATACACACATTTAAAAGTTTAATATTTTTCAAATTCTGGTAAAAAGTGACCAAATATATTGACAAATCATCTTGCGCTCAGAGGTGCATCCAAATGTTTTTTCAGTGCCCCTCTGATATGATACTCAGTCCTGAAGGTCCAATCCAGCACGCGATCATTCCTGGCCCTCCTTTAACCGTTTAGCCCATTAGCTAGCGGCCAGTAATCACTTGTAAGCGGCTCATTATGACACGTTTTAAATGAATCCATCTGGGATCAGGGGATTTCAGACGCTCAATAGCAGGACATCTAAAGATATCCTTGACAAGGCCACCCGACAGAGGTAAAACTCTCGGCTGCTTCTGAAAACTTAATGAGCTCTTGAATTACGAAGAGCATATTTTTTCTAACTTATGTTGAATTGTGATGTGGCGATCTGCTTTTGATCAGTCTCATTGTATTAACATAAAAAAACAGTGACCGTGTTACTAAGGAATGAAGGCGAAATGTTGCATAGCAGCATTTACTACCCTTTTTATGCTTGCTTTTTTAGCATGGTGTCTACTCAGTATTCCATGGTTGGAAGTGCATGATGCAACTGCTAATATATTTTATGAAATGAGGAGATTATTATATAATCTGTAATCTGACATGTTTTGCATTTGACAACAATTAGAGTGTTTTGTTGTTCCCATGTCACATGTACAATTCCTATGCATGAAAGAAATTCTGTCATCATCTGTTTACACTATCGTTGCTCCAAAGCGTATGACAAACCTGCGTTTTTCACAGATGTTATACTGAATGTCTGTTTTTGTTTTTTTCGTTTTTTTTTGTACAATAAAAGCATACAGTAACCAGGTGCCATCAAACTTAGAAAAAGGACACTAAATCACTATAAAAACACTGTAAAAATAGTCCATATTACTCATGTGTTACTTTCTGATAAAGTCTACTGAAGCCATCCAGTATAGTTTTGTTTGAAAAAAACAAACAAACAGAAAAAACAACTCTAAAACTGTCCAAAAAATAAAATAAATATAATTTGGCCTTTTTATTTATTTATTTAAATGTGATCAAGTTTATTTGCAATTTGAGAGCTACATTGGAGAAGACTTTCTGTGTAAATGGTTACTTAAATAATTACTGATTACTTATTATTGCTTAAAAGATCACTTAAAATTCACTTCAGAAAACATTCGAAAACTTGAAATATATCACATTAGTCGTATGCACTATATGCCCTATATACTTTCATTATATGGAAAAGAGCAGCATGGATATTCTGCCAATGTTCTCCTTTTATGTTCAACAGAAGAAAGGAGGCCATACAGGTTTGGAATGACATGAGGATGAGAAAATGATGACAGAATTTTCATTTTTTGGATAAACCATCCCTTTAAGCTTCAGTAGAAAGCACACAACAGACGTAAAAACAGATATCTTTTCTTTTCCAAGAATCTCGCCTTACCATGCAGATTTTCCCTCGCCGTCTCTCAGTAGCAAAAAAACCCTGTTTTATCTGTCTTTTTGCACTTCTTAAAAGTCACTTCATCAAAGTGATGGATAATACATCCAACAAGATAGCAACGGCAGCAATTACTGTTCAGCCGTGGCATCACATCGCAGAATACACAAAATATGATTCCCCTTTTAATGCATATGACCTCCAGAATTTATTGCAGGTACGTACATTTATAAGAAAGTGGATTTTGGCAAGTTGGCACCGGTGAGCCCCCTGGGGTGTGTATTTTATACTGACAGCGAATCAGAGTTATCAGCACCTATCAGATAATGCATTTATCATTAAATTTCACATTTGCATTTCAATCTGGAAAGGAAATGAGCATTGGCGGTGTAAGATAAGAGCGGTAGGGACGACGGTAATAAACGGTCCCTGTGATCAGGCAGCCAGTAGGGCTGAGGGGGTCAGTCACACAACGATGGGGGCAAGCGCATACAAAAAGAGGCATCATAGACCAGTTAAGGCTTTCCGGAAGAAAATGCTGAGCTTTAAACTCCTGCTTTATAAAAAATGGAGGGGGGCTAAGCAGCCCAATGTCTCTCTGATCATCCATCCTGTAATGCTGAGAGAGAGACAATTCCCTCCCTATTTGTTTTGAATGAATGATTTTTGTTGGTTGTGTCGCTCATCTGTGAAAGTATCACACAAAGAAACATGTACCATAACAACACTAGACTTTTGCATTTTCTGATAGAAATGTGAGTGGTGCCTGAGGTCTCCAGATGTGTCGCGAGTGTTAGTCGGTGGGATTCTTTTCACCTGTTTTATCGCCTGCTAGGTGAAAATTGTAAATCTGATCTCTTAGAAAAAGAAATATACAAAAAGCTGCATGATTTCTGGTGTCACTCAGGTTTGGCGCATAAATGGAGCCAGACGTGTTACATGCTGAAGTTCAATATTTTGTGTTAGAGGTATAAGCACGGTTGGCTTGGCAAACACTGTTAACTAGTCTGATATCAGTCGAGAAGTTGGTGTTATAGTTTCAGTTCATTTACTGATGCATAATACTGTACATTTACAGTTATTATCTAATTACAATCAGACATTTTTTATTATTATTTATCACCATGTATGGCATATTTCAGTGTGCAAGCGCATTTTTTCTCTATTTTTACATTTATTTATTTTTACGTTTGTCATCTAACTCTCACTTGAAGTTTATCTTTAAAAACACTGATTATTTAATAACACTGTTAAATACAATAAAATGTAAACAAATTAATAAATTAATTTATAAAAATAAATAAAAATAAAAACGTATCCTCTGTAGAGTCATGAGTAAAATAAAGTAATAAATAAATTATTCACTGTATGAATTATAACGTTGTGATGCCTGAATTCCATGGTATAATTTCAATTTGCAACAATTTATGAATGTTCTATAAGTTATTTTTTCCAATTTTTTCCAAATTCCAGTTATCCAGAATTGTGATGTTGGCGCATCCCAGTAATCGTTACACCAAAAAAAGAAGGGAAAAAAATTGTGTTGTGTAACAAATGGTGTTACATATGACCCGTTTAGCTTTATTTCTTCTGTGAAACCCAAAATGTGGTGCTTTTCTGAATATCCAAGTTACAAAAGTAGATTTATACTGTCAGTCAGAATCCTGACAGTTAAAAACAGTTACAAAAAGAACAATAAAAACCACTATAAAAAAACATGAAAGTAGTCCATATGAATCATGCGCTATATTCCAAGTCCTCTGAAGTCATACGATAGCTTTGTATAAGCATCAGACTGACATTTAAGACGTTATTCACTGAATATCTTGCCTCCAGCTCTCAAATCTCATTGGAGCCACATGAGGGTGAGTAGATAATGACAGAATTTTCATTTTTGCCTGAACTATCCCTTTTAATCTAGTTTGTCAGATTCATCTCACTGCTGAATTCCATATTTACCTCCCACCACGATCTCTCTGATAGCGCCGACGGTTGCTAATGCTGTTGATAATCTTGTTACATTACACAGATACGATCTATTCTACATGCCCCATTCGCTCCTCACAGAGACATTACTGTCAAACTCCAGCAGGAATGTGGATTTCTGGCAAAATAGAATGCAAATGAGAAAATCGCCCAACAGGAAACAACCCTCTCAGAATACAGGATATGACATCGCTCACGCAGCTGCATCACTGTCTCTTGTGGAGCTGTACAGTGGACATTAATCTCCGCACGTAATAACCACATTCACTTTCACGTCATGTCTTCTTCTGAAAGGCCATTTCCCCCCTTTCATTCCTCCCATTGTGTTGGAAAAGTCAGATGGGCCTGTTATAATTTAAATAAAGATGGGAATCACACCATCAAATATGAACATCTCAAATGGCATGACTTCCTGTTCGCAGCGATTAAAAGCAAATTTATTTAGTTTAAGAGTCTACCTTATCACTTTATTTATTTTATTTTTTACTCCTTTTTTAATGTTCAAATCTGGAGTCTTTGTTATTGCCCGGCTTAAGTTAAAATGCATGATTACGATCGGAAACAGATCATTTTTAATTGTTCGGTGTGAATGGGATATTTAATAGAGAGTACATCAAAAGAAGGACAGTATCTTAATGAAGAGACTCGCACAGGTTGCTCCTGCTTTAAGAATCTTTTAAAACCAATTCCAAGATTTGCTTTAAGTGTAAAAATGGCAGAAGTTCACAAGCTTCAATGTTAAAGAGGTCACAAATCAGTGGTGTTTTACGTGGTACCTGACCAGTGTTATTTTAGTA